AGAAATAGGCCTGTGGCCTCTATTAAGATACCAGTTGTCACAAACCTACTCAAGAAAGCCGTGAATACATACAGAACAGAGCAAAATATGGGTGTAAAGTAGGGGTGGGCAAAATATGGCCTGTGGGCCAGATATGGCTCACTAACTGATTGGATCTGGCCTGCAGGTGACTGGCCGCCAATTGATCGTATCCAGCATACTGCTGCCCTTGTAGCACTCCATACAGGGCCAAGCCCCACACACTCCTGTCCAGAGCAGCCTATGCTGCACTACCACCCACACCCACCCAGCACCGCTCCAGGCCCAGCCAGCACACTTTCCAGGTGGGGCAGCTCCTGCAGCCACCCAGGTACTACTCTGCTCCCCCTGCCTCTAGCAGCTCCTCCTCCTCCTGCCATGACCTCGAGCTGCAAGTAATGTGGGGAAGCCATAGGGACATGTGCCAGGCAGCAGATGCCCAGCTAGGCAGCGTGGAAGTTGCAGCCAGCTGGCTCTTTCCCCAGCTCCCTTCCATGCACTTGGCCTGCTCAGTGCCAGGCATCTACGTAAGTGAGATGCAGCTGGGAATAGGAGCAGGACCCTCACGCTCTGGGCCAGGAACTACCTGGCTGAAGCTTCCCTGGTGCTTGGCTGGGTATCTGTTGCCTGGCCCATGTCCCCATTACCTACTGCCCAGAGGGGTGCAGGAAGAGGAGCCAAGCAGTACATAGGTGGCTAGAGCAGCAGCCCTGCTGGGAAACTGCATGCTGGCCAGGACTGGGGCAGTGCTGTCTGGCAAGTACCAATGGGAATATGGCACAGGCTGCCCCAGGCAGGAGTGGATGGGACTTGGCCCCCTGTGGAGTGATGTGAGGGCAGATGTGAGTTTTAAGGGGAGGGGGCAGACTGCACCTGCACTATCTTGGAGAGCTCTACAGCACATCCCCCCTCTCTTCCTCCACCCCTTGCTTACTTCTAGGACAGTGTGCAGGCAGCCCCCTACATACACAGCCCACCTTCATACTCTGTTCTAATATAATGGAAAATACCCATTTCCAGGGAACAGTTCAATCCTTTTCTGAATCCTAGGAAACTGCTTGCTTTAATATCTTGCAGCAATGAACTCCACAAGTTACTTGTTAACTGAGTAAAAAAAAAATGGAAGTATTTCCTTTTATTCTGAAAGCCTGCTGTCATTGCTCTTGCACTGCAAGACCATAAAACAGTGTACATGACTAACCCCTTGAGTCCCACTGGTTATTTTGTACTCCCTACCTAAATAGTCCTAAATTCCTGCTTTTAACATTTTGAGGTTATGAATCAACAACTGGAGTCATGTACTTGTTACCTTATAGAGGTGCAGAACTTAGAAGAGAATGGAAGACATTTAACCATCTGTGGTACCAGACAATGATAGAGCTAAGCTAACTGAAGCAAAAATAGATGCATGCATAAGGACTCCCCAGTGGAAATTTTTAATACAGGCTTTGCATTAGATACAATATCTATATCCCCTTACCACTGCAATGTTTTGCAGCCTAGTTATATTTTATTCTCTTCATATCCTTTTTAATGATCCTGTTTTGTACCACTTCAGGGTTAAGGTTGCTGGCCTAGGGAAAATACAAACTTTAGCAACCATGTAATGGTAGAATGGGTCTTGGATAAGAAATAATTATTTCTTATCAATAGTCCTCTAGCTTTACTAATACGACTGCAAAGTATTTCCATAGTAACAGCACGATCAAGTGTTTGGCACAGCTTCTCTAGAGTATAATGAGTTTTGTCTAAGTCTATTAGGAAAGTACCAGATAAAAGGATTTTTCAACTCAAATACTAGGATGTCAGTTTTACTACAGTATTAGAGAGTTTATAAAGCATCTCAACTAGCAGCATTAAGAGTGTTCCTTACCAAGCAAGTATTTTACTCTTCCTGTGAAATTTGTTTTAGGGCTTGTTCAAGATTATTTAAAGGACAGTTAGTTGAATAAATGTA